CAGTCACAAAATGTTGCTTCAGAAATTTCCGAAACACTTTTATAAAGGTTGTTTCAGATTTCTCTCAAAGACGGTCAAAAAATACTGCTTCAGAACTTTCCGAAACAATTTTTTTATATAAACTAAGGTTGTTCCAGATTTCTCCTAAAAACGGTCACAAAGTGTTGAGTGTTGCTTCAAAAATTTCCGAAACAAGTAAGAAGTACAGCGTGTACGCTTTATCGAGAGTCAAAACAATAAAATTGTCACATTGGTGCCAAGAAACTGTCCTTAATTCCGTAATAGCTTGAGTCATCGCTACAGCTTTTGCAGGGAATCTGGATTTTGTCCGTAGCAGCGAGCGTCCATATATTAAAACTGATTCAGTTACTTGGCTAAGAGGCTCGGGAGCATAACCCAAAAGATATGTATTACTCTTTGCTGAGCCTAAAGTTGATTTCTTTTACATTTCTTCTACATTTTTTTTCGATCACATCCATCGAACATCGTACCAAAGGGGCCGAGAGGAATTGGTACTTACACTAAATCCCAATCCTCACTTCTCAATATTTACTTCCGTTTTAGTGGGTTTCAGTTCTCGCCCCTACTTACTTACTTCCGCTACGGTCCGATTACCTGTAAACACTCCCACGATGAGTGACACAAACCTATCCGACCATGTGATGATCCATTTGCAAGACCGACGGGGCGCAGCTTCGCTCCGTTACAGAAATTGTACCGAAATCACCGTTCTTGTCAACAGAAGCCCCACCTGGTATGAGAGATGATCGAGCTAATGAAATGACATAGAGTAAATGCGAATCTCCCCACCTCGTATCCTGCGCTTGTAAGTAATATGAGAGCAAAAATGAACGGGGCTCGCGAAAGGACCTCTCTCATCAAGTGTCCCCTTCGCGCGCCCCGTTCTTTTCTGAGCCCTACTGCTTACAAGAGCCTGCTTCGCAGGTCACCCACCTCGGTGCATTTCTTGCAAATTGCTGAATCAAGGCAGCAGTCTGGGTATCTTGACAAAGGTCCAATGGAGTTTTTCCTTCGTGGTTGCAAAAGTTGACGTTGGCACCATGAAGAACCAAATAAACTGCTATAGCTGAGCCCGTGTGCTGATCTGTCTCAGCCCCCGCTGGGAGATTAAGTCCTAAACCTTGCAACAGCTGAATCGGTGAGAAAGAATACAAAAAAATAATAATAACACTCAGAAAAATAAATCAAATATCTATAGGGGCAACCAGTTATTTGTGACCTAGTCGTTGTCATAGTGACACTAAAATAATGAATTAGACAAATTTCGAGAAAAATTAAAAGTAACGTTATTCGACCTTTTGACGTTTCTAATATCACTATCAAGAATGATAGCCATTAAGTGTCAAACTTGTTAAAATAGGAGAGATTTTAATCCAATTTTCAATGCCGGTCATTTTCAAGCGTATTCGGTGATTTTCACAGACAAAATTTAGAATACTACTTTGTTAAATTAAGTCTCACAGTTGGTGATTAGCACTTAGTTGGAATTCCAATAGAATTTTTTCACTATAAAATAAATCAATGTGGCGGGACATCATGTTTATCCATAATTAATACGACAAGACACGGATGTTAACTGCTTACATCCTACGTCTTGCCGAGAATAAATATGAATCCAATTACGAGGCGCGTTTTCAGGGTTAAATCTATATGGAAACACTGAACGTTCATTGGCAGACTAGACTGCGTTGAGACCTTAAACGCAGGGGAACCATGGGGCCTCTTCACCCTTAGTGAAACATTGCATTGTTTAACTTATTTCTTTCAATTAATGTACACCTGTATTATCGTTCACTTAAAGAATACTTCGAATGGAGTCGGTGTTTCAGTGATCGCTGGCTAATTTACTTACAACGTTCACTGACGCCGTTTTTCAAGAAACGTCGTCTTTTTTCAGTGCTAGTTAAAGAGGAACTGCATGGGAAAGTTGGAACTTTATTCGGTTTTTCGCTAATTTCTTAAGTATTAGGTACATGGGTTTAGGTTAGAACTCAGCTATCAATTTAAAAACAATTCGTTTATTTCTTGGGTTTGGTGTGAATAAAATAAAATAACAAATCGTACGCGTTATCGAAATTACACTTAAAAACTAGAATCGTAGTCAAGCCGAAGAATACAAAATGAAATTTATGGTACCCGGTATATTAAGATGTTTCCCTTTTCCTCAACGATGTGTTTCTCTCGTTAACACCTTCAGGTACCAGCAAAATATTTTTGTGCAAACACGACAAAACATTTTAGTTGTGAAATTTGTTAACAACCTTCTTTGTAAATAATAATCATTCATTTTAATGCAGCGTGACCAACAGACACACTGAAGAAAGGCTTCCATTAGTTGGTACCAGCAACTACATATAAACGTTCCGGCCTGTCCGGCCGTCACGAATTATATTCCTCCTCATTCTAAAAACGAAAGACAACAGACATTAACTAGAAGTGTTGGGAGTCGGCTGAGATTTCATAATCGATCATCGGAAATAATCAGATTGACCCACCCGATCAATCATCCATTATGTTTAAAAGAATTCAATTTATTTTTACCTTTGTGTAACTCAAAGTACATGTAATACAAACTTTTTGAGTTTTTTGACTGTGGACCACTTGGGGTAAGAGAGTTGTTCATATTTACGATTAGCAAGTTGTACTGTAGGTGAAAAGTAAAGTGTTCTTGATTCAATTTATTAAAAAATGGGTCAATTCATTTGTTGATGACCTATTTAAAGGATTGATAAGGTAGATAAATAAATAGAAAGTCGCTAAGCTGGAATCGCAAAAATTACATATTTGCCCAAGAGTGACTAATATGGGGTCTAGGGGCTCCGAGTGGCCAGCAGCACATACCTAGCAAAAATTACCCCACGTAACCCCCCGGGGGACACCGCGGTTTCTTTGAAATCTTAACAGTTTTCCTGGAAAGCTCCACGGGATCTCAGTCAATCTTAATAAGCAAACTTTCTTTTCAACCTAAATCAAAATGATTAGTAAAAAGAATAGTGCCCTTATTTTCGACCCCAATTTTCTTTTTTATAAAAAATACATAAACAGACCAGAATCTTACTTTTCCATTTAAAAAACATGAAATATTCGGCGGCGTTGCCATGTTTCTCATGGCACGAAAACTTACTATTCACAAAATTCTGCTTGACTTGTTAAGAAAATAATTTGTTTAATTTTTAATGATTAACTGACAGCTCATTGATTTATTAATTTGGGCGACCAACTTGGAGGCCCGGGCACCCCAGCTAAAAATGCTTGGGGAGCCCAAAGGGCCCTCTGAAATCTTCCCTAGAGCACAGCCTTGCAGCCCTGTAGTTATTGGAAGTATGATACATTACATGTTATTGTTGAATGTGGAAGTGCATTTTTTGAGGACATTAGTAAAGGAATGCAAATTTTAGTGAACTATCTCATACTCCTAAGATATATGGTGGTGATATTGATGTAAGTTTTGTTTTGAGTAGCAAAGGAACCCTTGTGTGTAACTCATCTTCTAGTGTATTAGTCCTTAACAGAACATCTCCGTCTCTCCTGCACACATTTGTTGCATACGCTACTCAACTTTCCATTGCCATTCAACATAACGGTAATTCTTTCTTACACCAACACATCCCGCGTAAACGCCTTCAGGCGTCTCCCCCCCTTAACGACTTCGTCTCTTCATGCGTACGTTTTGTCACATGTAGTCACGGAACAGATTGTCACGCAGAGTTGCCGTCTGGTAGGGTTCAGCGTTTCAAAATGGCTAAAATTGACCCAGTTTCACCTTTTTACCCCACTCTTTGACTGGAAAAAGAAATTTTGCAAAGGGGAAAACCTACAAGAAGTACAAAAAAACGAGTCTTTAGGCTGTAATTAAATATCTACTTTTGTGCGTTTCGAAATTGGAAGTGTTTACACAATTACCGCCGGCCTACCATGAAAATACCTAAACTTCGATGGCGTCTTACGGAGATTACATTCGATAACTCAAGCTAATCCCCAGGTATGTTTTAAATGAATGTCTAAATGTGTGATTTAAATAGCATTAAGAGAATTTGGAGTTATACCACATGTTAAATATTGCCGTCGAAAATGAGTAACGAAGTTAAGTTTTTGTTATCCTGAAAACCTATCCCTCATTTTTGAATTATTTCAGTACGACGAGCTTCGCTATTGCCCTGAAAGTATCTTTTAGTGGAAGTTAAGAAGAATTTTTTTTGTTAATGGAAAGAGTCCAAATTTCTCCCTGCGGCTTCGTTTGCGAACGCGAAGAAAGTTAATGTTAGCGAATTTCAGGTTAAAAATTAGGGCAGTCTTAGACTCCGACATCAAAAACCGATCCTCTAACTTTTCTCACAAATAAAAAGCTTTCGGCAGGAACAATCTACTTTTGGTTTCTTATCTATCTAAAAGCTATCTACGAACAAAAAATGGAAGAAATTGATTTTTCAACTCTTGCCAAGAAATTAAGATTTTGGCCGATTTTTCCTGACCGGCGCTCTTAACTGTTTCTAACGTTTCACATGGTTCGATATAATGCTTGGAAGACATTAAAGAGCTTTAGATTCGAGGACGGGAACGACTACGAGTACGAGATTTGTCTTAAAGTTTTTTTTGCTTATTCTTAAATAATAGATACCCTGGAAAGCTTCATTGTACTTTTGATTCACAACAAAAGTTATCTTTATTGAAGGAGGTTAAGCCCTCTCCAGATAGCAAAATGATAAAACTACTCATAGCTGATAACTATTTTCCGCCACTGCGACATTCCCGCTAAAACTCGCAGTAGAATGACGACGGCTATCACTTTTTCACGCCAAAATGACGCATGTTTCACGCGCGAGCAATACACAGTATTGAGAATCGCCTTAGAATCTAAAGGTCTCTAGTATTAACAAAATGAAGTAGACAGCCGTGAAACAAACCCTATGAAAGGCCGAAGAAAATAAAAACGATAAGAATTATCTCAAATGTGGGTTTTTTTCCTACAGCAAGGATATATCAGGACGACATGTTGGCAAGATTCAAAATCGTGACCATCTTTCTAATTGTCCACCTTTTCAATGGAATATCAGGTTTGTTCGTTCCTTTTTTTTCGTTCAAACTAACTTTGTTTATAACAACTGATTGGCCAACTGCCCGTTTACTATTTACCCAATGGTGAATGCTGACGAAAACTAAAGCGCACTCAAAGCAGTAAGCATCAAAATTCAACGCGCTTTTTCTTGCTTTTACCATTGTTTTGAGGGGCTTTTTTCTTAACACTGAAAAAACGATTACAAAGGTCGCTTAAGATAACATAAAACAGGTTGTCGGTAACTACCATGCATTAACATTAGAGGGGCTTTAAATTCAGATTTAATTTCCAAGAAAAGAGTTGAACGTAATGAAAAACAAAACAAGAAAATGCCTACAGAAATTATAATTCGAATATGCCTTTTAAGGTGAGTTTTAAACATTTTGATGACATTTCTAGGGTCGTCAGGGGGACTTGGGGTGCGCGAGAAGCGCGTGGGGCGCTTATCTCGCGCGCACACGCATGTCCAAATTTGCTTCCCTTTCCCCTTCAAACACCTTCCACGCAGACTACCACCTTGTCATGACAACCCGTCGAGTAATTACCGGTTCTCTAATAAAAGACGTTTTACACAAGGACTTCGGTAAGTTCTCATTGAGCGCCTTCTGTAAATTTAGCCCATGTTCGCACTATATCGGATATCATTTCGCGCCGACACGAAAAGCTAACCGCGATACTATGAACACCTATCCGAAATGTGACTCTCTGCTTTTTGGGGGGAATTTTGGCGGGTCCGTGTGGTAGTGTAGTGGTAAGGGAGAGAGAGTAGGATACGAAAGGTTCGAGTTCGAGGTCCAGGTTCGACCCTGGGTTGCTATTTTCTTTCTTTTAATAGAAAAACTTTCAATAACAGGTCAAAAATTTTCTAAGTGTCTTAAAAACAGCAGCGACCGTTTACGAAAGGGACAATTGCATCGACGCGGCGCAGCTTCGCTCCGTTAAGGTGATATTACACGAGACGATTCGCAACGACGATTTTTAGCGCAACACAGCGTTGCAACATTGTTACGACACTGTTTCGAATGGTCACAACATTGTTCCAGTATTGCAGCGTTGTGTTGCGCTAAAAATCGTCGTTGCGAATCGTACCGTGTAACATCACCTTTAAGGAAATCGCTCGGAAATCACCGTTTTCATGTGTGAAGAGAAGCCTTATCTGATATAGTTCTCGTACCTTTGCAAAAGCTAACCCGCACAATGTGAACATAACCTAACAGCTGTTATTGTTCTTTTAGGACAAATAAATGTGACTTTGGATGTGTTCTCCGGTAGAAGGAATCCGCAGTGGCTTCTGCTACCCAGCAATGCAAAGTTTGCGCAAATTAAAAAGCTTCTCGTGGAAGCAAGGGAAAGCAATTTAACCTACTCACCAAACATGAAGCCAGCAAGACTTGGGTTCAAAGGATTCGTAGTTCAAGAACTAACACAGAAGGAACCGGAACTAATTATAGGAAAGAGCACAGTTCCTTTACAACAGCAGTTATTTGGGACTCTTCCTACAGGTATAGCGTAACTTAGATTGGGTCTGCGCGGGCTTTAGAGGCAGAGGGATGGAGCCAGGGGTCTGTTTTCGAAAAATGGCATATAACGTTTCGTACTTATCATTACAATATTTTCAACCCGAATCTGTAAGTGTTAAAGAATAAAACATATCCAACAAGGTGTCTGGACTATAGAGAAAGAAATTTATTCTGGTCAGATTCTGGGAACAATTCTACCGCAGAAATGTTTGAGACCGTGAATGATGAAGTTCTGACAACGTTCACGGCGTGGATCCGGCTTAGAACTGAAAGCTGATGCTGTTCATTATAATGTACAAAAACGTTAAAAATCCTTACGTATATTACTATTCAAATGAAAATCTTAAGAAGTATAATCTTATTTCTTGGGCATTTTACTGAATCAAATTTTGTATTTTCTTTGAAGTTACTACTCTAAACGGTTTCTCCGTTTTCTTTCAGACTGGTTAAAGGAAAAAATGTTGCAAGTATACTTTAACAAAGTTCTAAGGGAGGAAATAAGCCCCGGATTAATCAGCGCAGTAAGCCCTGCCAAACAACCAAAACAACTACTTCAACAAAATCTACCAGAACCACTGAAACTACTGGGGCAAAAAGCCATACAAAACTTACCCCCAAAGAAACCGATTTCAGTTACCGGTAGACGAAAACGTTACGCTTATGAGATTACATCCTATCCTTGGAACGACATCCCTGCCGCACAGTTAAACAACAACTGCTACAACTACGCAAATAACAAACTCACTTATACATTCGCCCAGCCGGGGAGGGGGAGTGGGGCCATGTGCCAGTATTATTTCCCTGACTGTATAAGAAATGCAGCGATAAACGATCATTTGGAAACTTTGGATCTGCCCCCCGCCGCACCTCTGCCGCCGGTTCCGAGTGGGAAAAAACATCTAGTGGCACTTGTTATTAACCCAGGTAAAAAAATAGCATTACTTCTCGTACATAGGGTATAAAATGTGGGAGACGCTCATATAAACCCTTTGAACACGGCGGAAACGCATAACGAAGCCCTAAGAACGTATAAATGGAAGCCTATTATACTGTCTGGTACTGTTGTCAAGGTTCAACGCACTTTGGTATGAAACAATGGCAGAAACTTAAAGATACCATGGCTGCTATAAATGCGTGCACACTGTAGAATGAAAAAGCGAAAAAGAAAAAAAGAGATTTTAGCCTGTGTACAGCATCACCCTCCCAGCAAACACAATCGGCGCGATTTTGTTTGATATGAGGGGCGGCTGTATATGAACTACGCGATTTTCGAATCAGTTTTGTGCGATAAAAACATCTTTTCTCTTCCTGGAAAAAACTCACTTGCTTTCCAAGATATATTTCTGCGGTGGCCGTAATGGTAGAAGTCACAACAAGAGCCATAATATGGCTCTTGGTCACGATATCAAAAATATCACACTTTTCTTAGAACCTAAGTAAATTGCTCTCCCTCTTCTTTAGGTGTCGATTTTCACTGGTATCGTCTCGACCAGCCAGGCATTTGGACCCATAAGCCCGGAAACACACCAGCTACCTACCTCGATAATGCGAATCAGTTGATTAAGGACCCAAGAAACGCTAATCGGGGCGGTTACAACACCTTTGCTGGTTTCATGCTCAGTAACAGAGATGAAGTAACAATTGCTTAAAATGTACCACGGCGTGATGACGTTATATACATACATATTTATTAATCGCAGCACACGAGAGACTTTACAGGATATTAAGAGTTAGTCAATGCCAAACAAAAAAGAGATTACCTTACTTAAACTGAAGATACGTTCATACGTAAATTAAAATGGCCTGGAACAAATTTAAGTATGTGCCATAAAGGAAACTTATTAATGCAAATAAAAGAACTAAAAAAATAAATAAATAAAACTGCGTTTTTAACCAGACACATACTGTGATGAATTTATGTAGAGATTCATATTTATCCTTGGTGAAAAGCCTTCTTGGTTCCCTGCCAATTTCCTTCCTTACAGCGATTTTACCACATTATCCTCAGCCTTTCTGTTTTCAGGCTGAAAAATGGCAATTTAGAAGTACTTCTCTCTGGTACTGTTTACTTTGATGGAAGAGGTGGATTAAATCCTAAAGGACAACCATTCAAATGAAAGCTACTAAAGAGTACTTTCCTGTAGTATTGTATATTATGCTGTACAAGGTGGTTCTAACTTTTGGTGAGTCTGTAGATAAAATCCTACAGTTTTATTATCCAAATGAAAGTCACTGAGCAGTACTTTCCTGTACATGTGGTACTGTTTATTACGCTGTACAAGGTGATACTAACTTTGGAATCTGTGGATGAAAATCTGAAGAGTGACCTTTTAAATGAGAGCTTCTAAGGGGTACTTTCCTTTGGAAACGTTTATTATACTGTACACGGTGGTTCTAACTTTTGAGTCCACGGATGAAATTCCAAAGAGTGACCGTACAAATGAAACCTCTTTTTTCCGTACTTTCACACAATACTTATTATTTTTAGATTTGTACAAAATCAAATTTGGGATTTTTCGATAATTTTGATTTTGAGCAATCTATGTCATCCTTACGGAGCCCCCAACAGGACATTAACCAAAAAAGTTTCAAATTAAAAAACAAAAACAACTACACAACACTTCGTCATTGGCGACTTATAAGTCGACTTATAACTCGTCCATGGCGACTTATAAGTCGACTTATAACTCGTCCATGGTGACTTATAAGTCGACTTATAACTCGTCCATGGTGACTTATTAGTCGACTTACAACTCGATGCACTTAAATCTGAACGCACACCGCTTAAAGTATGATCACAAGTCAATCGCACAAAATGGCCGCCAAAGACAACATGCGTAACACGTGAGCATGCGTGTAACTATTGTGTTTCAACGGAAAGAGATCTGGTAACTAAATTTTAAAAAAACTATGAAAAAAATATAACTCGAATGTGCAAACTAAAAACTGGACTGGGAAAAGTTAAAACTAGACTGAAAGTCTCCTAGGCCATTGTAGCAAACCTCTCTATAAAATATCAGCATTGGATTTATAATACAGTAAGCCTGGGGCTTTTTTTTTTTTTTTTTTTTTTGCTACTCCGGTGAATTAAGGAATGGGTCCTCGTTACATGCGGGGTTTTATGACTTGATCTTGTTTTTCCATTATCTTCCTTTATTTTAATCTTCGACCGCTGTGTTTAAGACCAGAACCACTTTGGACCTTAAACACTCCTTTTTTTAGATCACGTGACCAGCCACGCCCATAATTATGCAAAATTTGGACTTCGCAGATTACACCAGTTTACTGAATGTGACAACAATCGTTTTTCCTTCCATAATATTTCATTTACAGTCAAATAAGCTAAATTAATCGGGGATTTGTGAAATGATCTATTCCTTCCTAATTATTAGATATTTTTCTCTCGTCCCAGTCTCCCTCTTAACAAGAAACGTTATAGTTTATAAAACGTAGATAATTTAAGAAAACCCCGATTAATTCCATAAGCTTTGTGTCAATAGTCATTGACAAAAAGTGAATTGAATTACAAGTGTTATTTATAAAGTGGTGTAAATTTGGATTGAAATAAAAAGCCAAAAATGGGTGTGGCAAGTCACGTGACACAGATAATACATTAGTAATAATGAAAAATGAATGCTTATGGGGAGTAGATATTGAATTTAAAATATTAATGCGAAAGGTAAAATCGCTATTAAAACGGACCACCCCCCTCCAAATTTGCAGTGCCCCATTCCTTAATTCACCGGAGTATTTCACAGTATTGAACTTGCCTTTCATGCTATAAATTAAAGATCGCCGATATATTCGATTGATAAAGTGGTTAATAAGATTGCCAAATTAAATATTTTGTCCGGCGAATTGCCGAATTGAATTATTCAATTCAATAATTGCAGATTTAAATTGCAAGAAAAAATGTTCGAATTGCAGGTTTGGATGTAACAACAACACGTTTGACTTTTGGTGGGGTAGTTACACATAGTGGGGTGGGGGGGTGTGGTTATATCCAAAAAAATAGGATACAAGGGGGAACCAGGGTAAAAACGTCTGATGAAAAGGGAGTCATTATACAAAAAGGTTTGGTCTATAAAATCCTACCCAGTTCCTCCCTCCCTCGCAAAAAAAATGAATAGTCCCATAACAACGTGAAAGGTGATGTCTCAGAGACATTCCAAAAGACAACCCTGATTCTCTTCTTTATTACAAAATTTTGTATCGTATCACAGGAAAATGTTCGTTTGACGTTAGATAAACGATTGTCCAATAATGCATTCAAAGATAAACACAGGAAATCCAGAGGCCAAACAAACAAATTCCCTTCACTCCTAAGTAACTGATAAATAACTGATGCATCACTGTGTAACACACGCATGGAAAACTAGACAGAATCCAGAGAGACCTTAATTGGTAAAACATCAAAGTGTTCTTTTGTTAAAAGCCCTTACAAATTGTCCATGTGGTTGATCAATGACAAATAAAGATTCTTGCCTCCATGGGGCCTTTAGGCAGCATCAAGTTTTCCTCATTCATGATGATGTTTGCCAATTGCGAAAATTCCTCGCTGCAGTTAAGACTGGTACTGTTCATGCCACACAATTGCTGCTCACACAAGATGGCGTAATCGTTGTCAATGGGAACAAGGGAATCCTGTGTGGCTGATACCTCTGGAAGATAATATAGTAAATCTGGGCGGCTTGAGGGAGACTCTCAGTTGATAGACGGTCTGATTCGGTGGTTGTTTCAAAGTCTGTCAAATCTATGTAGTTCATCCCTGATTAGATCCATGTAACAAAATCTCAGACAATGCACGTGAACTGGATTTGAATCACAGTACAGTCCACCTTCTCTTAGCTGTGCAAACTGGTGGATGGAACATTTTAAAGATCTCCTGCGCAACTGCGACCACCATGCCTCTATTCCCTGACTGGACACAGAGCGACCATACATAAAGCTCTTGTCTTTGGAAAAAGAATCACGGGAATTGTTACGGAAAAAGCGTTGGATACCTGCAACGTAAGTATTCTCTGTACCCAAATCGGCACGAACAATACGTGCAGTACCCTCCACTGCCTTCACACAGCCCACAAAATATTTTTCTATAAAGGCTGGTTCATTGTTTGAAATACCCACTTCAAGCCGCAAAATTCTTCTACTGTAGCCATCTATTCCCCCGTGTATGCAAATCCGTACGGTTTCAACTTATCAAAACCGTCAATGTGCCATAGGAAATTCGGACCTCTCCTTTTGTATTGACGCCTTTGTAGTCTATGCCTAACTCGCATCGACACCTTCTGGATGCAAAATTCTCAGAGCGTGCCTTACAGTTTCTTTAGCGACCAAGGTCGTGGACGATCACCAGTCTTTGCCACATGAACCGATAACCGATATTACTTCCCCTGGATTGAAGCTCTCGCTCTATGTGATGTATAACTGTTGAAAGATTGGATACATGATTCCCCTTCTCGTTAAACCTCTCCTTGAGAGTATTCGCCTCAACTGCCTGAAACCCAGGTTCTGGTCGTGTATCAGCAGAAGACATGATAGAATTTCCTTTTGTTGATATCCGAGATTAAAGTAATGTTCCATGAGATCGTTTCAGTCCTCCATCTTGATGGATTCCATCAGTAACTCGTAGTTATGAGTGGCCACAGATCGCCACAGACAAGTTATAAGTCGACTTATAAGTTGCCATGGACGAGTTATAAGTCGACTTATAAGTCATCTTAGACGAGTTATAAGTCGACTTATAAGTCATCTTAGACGAGTTATAAGTCATCTTAGACGAGTTATAAGTCGACTTATAAGTCATCTTAGACGAGTTATAAGTCGACTTATAAGTCATCTTAGACGAGTTATAAGTCGACTTATAAGTCATCTTAGACGAGTTATAAGTTGACTTATAAGTCGCCATGGATGAGTTATAAGTCACCTTAGACAAGTTATAAGTCGACTTATAAGTCATCTTACACGAGTTATAAGCCATCTTAGACAATCGTTTGAAGTTTATGTCGATCCAATCCAGGAAGTGATTGAAGATTTACTACTCCCAACTTTGTTCGGTCGATCAGAGCCTCTCCCTAACGAGGTGCGCAGACTTGCTACCTTAGCAACGGGTCAAGGGGGTCTAGGCATTCCTGATCTGAACTCCGACGCACCGCAGCAGTTTGCTGCCTCGAGACTAATAACCACCGCGCACATAGATTCTATTACTTCACAGAGTTCCATCATGGTGCCAGGAGAAAGATCTACGGAGGAGCTAAAGAGGCATCAACAATCACTTAAGAGAGCAAGTGCCAAAGAGAAAATGGATAGCATTGATTCAAGCCTCTCCCCAGGCCTGCTGCGTCTGGTTAATCAATCAAAGGACAAGGGCGCAAGTTCTTGGCTGAATGCGATGCCTCTCGCAGACAAAGGTTTAGCCCTCAACAAGCAAGAGTTCAGAGACTCGCTACGCTGGCGTTATGACTTGCCCTTAGTCGATTTACCAAGTCATTGCATATGTGGGGATAAATTCACCGTTAGTCACGCCCTCTCTTGTAAAAAAGGGGGGTTTGTAGCGCAGAGACATGACAGTGTACGGAACTTGTTAACGACATTCATCGACAAGATCTGCAATAATGTCGAAATCGAACCACGCCTTCAACCCCTGGAC